AGGTAACATTGAAAATCTGTTGTGTTATTCATATTGCAAAAATTTTTAAATTTACAGAAATATACTTTGAAAGCTTCGATCAGAAAGTTTCGGCATACATTGTAGATATAAAAGTCAGCTTGTTAGATTTCCCAAAATAAACTAAGAAAACCATGAAGATTTGATAAATAAAAGCTGGGTTTTGAAAAGGTCCAAGAAAGTTGTAAAATTTCCCCAAAATTGTAAGAGACGTTATTATAATACCACATCTTTTTATTTTTATATTGTATGCTTTTTTGAGCAAGGAGAAAAAAAAATTGAAAAAGACCTCGTTATGAAGGCATTTACGATCGCCCTAAAACGACTCCATATAAAATGTTTCCACCAAAAGAATGGTTATCATCAAATTAGATCAGAAGCTTATTTGGAAACTTTACTTTAAAGAAAACAAATGAATTGATGCACAATTCTAATAAAGTGGAAACAATTGATGAGGCAGATGTAGGACATGATTCAGACTTCATTGAAGTACTAAGTATGTGTTTATATATCAGAATTATTTGTGAATGTATCATGACATGCATCTGTTGCATCACAATTTGGTAGTAAAACACTAAGTACAGATCTGAGAGTACTCGTCGTTACTGACAGCTAGTTCAATGCCAATAGCAACTAATGAAAAAATCATGTATCTAAGACTAAAATATCAATCAGTACACATCCAACATCCAATGGATTAAGTGTAAAGACGTCATTAACAGTCAGAGAAAAAGATGACCTTGTGAAATGCCAAACTATGAGTATCGACAGATTGTAGTACCGTGAAAGTACATATGTGTAATATTTAGTATGGTTTTTATTTACTGATAACAAAATCACAAAATCAATATTTACACGAATAAAAACAATATTCGAAGATTTAATTACAGTGTTGAATAGGTAACCTTTTTGAATAAGTATTATATTTAAAGAATTGATAAGTTTACCCTAGTTATTTTTGTAAACATCAGCTTTTTATCTAATGGAACAGATTGCCCAGCTATAAAAATACAGTCTCTGAAATTATTTTCAAAGTACAATTTAAGAACAAAGGGCCAGTGCGAGCATTTCCCATCAATTGGCGTCAGTCGTCCGTTGTGGTCGTCCGTTAAGTTTTACAAAAATCTTCTCCTTTGAAACTATTGGGCTAAATTTAATCAGATTTGGCCGCAATCACCATTTGGGTAAAGAGTTTTAGATATTTGTTTGCAATGACCACCTCCTTTTTTCCAATCAGCATGGCCGTCAAGGCTAAAAATAGAACTTACGGGGTAAAATGCAAATTTTGTCTATTATCTTGAAAACTGCTATAGATAGAGAAAATCTGACAGGGGCAGAAATTTTTAAAATGTTGAGATTTCCCTACCATCTATTTACGTCAAAACTGTCAGACGAGCTTGTGTTGGAGTTTTTGCCCTTAAATGACATAATTTTTGCCTATTATTTTAAACTCTGCAATAGATAGATACTTTACAATACAAAATTCCTAAGGGTTTTCTCAGATTCTTGTGTCTTGCCCTTGATTGTTGCTGTCAGTGTAACAGTATAATGTTGACCTAAAAAGTGAGTTCATTTTATCAGTAAATACTAAATTGAATTTAGATGCTATATCTTGATCTTGAAGATTAACGTCTGTCCAAGTTTCATAACAATCCATGAAGGTTTACAAATTTATCATGACAAAAAAATTCAATCCTAGATTGTCTGTAAATGTAAACTGTAAAAAACTAAGTCCATCTTTCAGAAAAATACTGAAATGAAAAAAATATATTTTCAAAAGTTTGCTTCAGACATTATCTCTTAATCATAAAAAAACTTCTGCCAAAGTTTTATAAAATTGTATGAAGGTTTTCCAAAGTAATTGATGTGTAACAAATTTTAACCCCAGACTATAACTACTTGTTAACTGTATAAAGAACTATATGCCCATTTATCAGAAAAATACGTAAAATGAAAATAAATATTTAATTAATGAAGATACAATTTTTTGCATTTTTGCCTAGTATCTTGAAAACTACAATCTATAGATAGAAACTTTAAAAAGCAAGAAAAAATAGATTGACAATTATTTCGTAGAAAAAAAACAGTTAAATACATGAGATGAGTTTAATTTTGACGAGTTGACTCTAGTAAAAATATGACAGCACAAATTATTTTAGAAGCCTGTTTTTATAATTAGATTTCTTTGTATTATCCCCTTGGTTATATAAAAATCAATGTTATGGTGACTGTAATTTGTTATATATCTACACCTTGTTAGATTATTGCTCTTTTAAAAAAAAATACACTTTAAAACAACATGGATATACAGATTGATTTTTTTATTTTTTTCAGAAATTGAAAATTTTGACATTTTTCAACAGAATCTCATAGAAAAAAATCACAATTAGTTTTTTTGGACTAAACATTCTCTTATTACACCTTGGTAATTGGTGGCTTTGTTTTATATTTTACTTTATGAAAAGAAAAGAAATATCGAAACACTTATGATGTATCAAGAGCAGAATGCTTAATTTGAAGAAAAAATAGATACTTTTTAAAGATTTTAGAAAATGCATTTTTTACTGAATTATCTCCCTTTGTACAATAGAATATCAATATTTATGGCTTCATTTATTGTAATTGTATTATCTTCATTTTTAGTTTAACTTACATTGTTAAGTACAATAATGCTTTTAAAAAAGTAAAATTTATATATATACATTTCCAAAATTATCTACAGATTGATATTTAAAATTCATTGATTCTGTAAGAGAAATTGTAAATTTGGACATTATTCAAGGATACTAGAAAGTACTTCAACAAGAGTCAACCAATCGTATATGCTAAAATGCGTTTTTAACATTGTCACTTAAAATAACCAGATAGAGATATGTTTATATTTTAATGGACAGAGAGCTTGTAAGTTTAAAAAATGTGATTTTAAGATTTTTATAAATGCATATTTACTGGATTATCTCCCGTTGTACCATAGAAATTCAATATTTATGGCATCATAAATTGTAATTGAACTATGGTCATCGATACTTTGACTTATTTTGTAAAATGTTATAGTGCTTTTAAAAAAGAAAAACTTACATTTCCAAAATTATCTACAGAATACCTTTCTTAAATTCATTGATTTATTGAGAGAAAATGTAAATTTAGGCATTTTTAGAGTTGAATTCTAGAATGATCTTCAATGAGACCCCAACAAGTTTACTAGCTGAAATGCATAATTAAGGATTCCAATTAATAAAACATGGGAAGTTATCTTTATATTTTTAATGGACCAAAGACTAGATAATTTAAAAAATATATACTTTTTAGGATTTTCTGAAAATATTTTTTTAATGGATGATCTCCATTGGAATAATCCACAAACTGTTTCTTGTTAATTCAAGTACTGATGAGTTACTAAAGCTTCAACACTTGATTATTCAATAAATTATCATTCTTTATCTCGTTGTTTTTTGCATTCATAAGTTTCAGGGTGTTGAAATTGGTCATTTTCATAGAAAAATACTGCCTCCAACATGGGGAAACTGGTTCCCGGTACATTACAGCATCTTCTAACTGAAAGGCATGGGAACCAGCTGAAATATTTGTTTTATGGACTTCTTTCATAATGTTGTTTAAGCACACAAAGTTTCAATTAAATCTGATGACCCCCTTTGTGGACTGCTTTGCATGGTTTTATGGTAGACTGGGTGTTAAGACCATATCGTTTTGTGATCAGCATAAATTAAGCTATTATTTGACACCAGAATTGACATTTTAAACCAGAATTGAATATTTTCCTGTCTAGAAATGTCTATTTTGGGTGGAAAGACTTTCAATTGTTCTCTGAACAATTTGTTTTAAAAAATTATTTGTTATTATATGTTTTTGGGTATAAATATTATGTATTAAAAGTAACGAACCCTTATATCATCGTTGGTTGTGATTGACCAAGATAATACCCCGTTACACCCATTTGATATCATAATGAATAAAGTACATTAAAAATAAAATCAATTTTCTTTCATACTAGGTTCATCTAACTTTTGCTTTACTTGCTAGTTGCTTGAATCCACGTCATACGTTTGGACTGTAACGTATGGTTGTACCATTTGCAATCACACCACATCTCCTTATTTGTAGTGTTGTATTATCATCTCCCTTTTCATTTTATTAGCCGAGCCGTTGTCTTTTCTCGGTTCTGGAACATACAAGATCAGTGCAGCTATTTGCTATCGAGATTATCATTCACCCATCAGCCAGAAATTCGGTACGTTTTTGACTTTAATGATTCATTTGTGTTATAGATTTTCAGTTAAAAAAATATATTCTTGCATTACGCCTAAAGTTGCAAGAACATATGTTGTGCCCAACAGATCATACCATGCGTTAAATTGCATTTTCGTTTAAGCAGTTCTCTTCATATAGTTTCATGTTTTCTGTTATAAAATTAATGTGGCTTCCCAAACGTTTGTTTCCAAGCGTTTCAAAGACACGCGTCACATGCACGAGCATTGTCTATTATCACTGGGGCAAAGCCTTCTAGTGCATTATCAATTTCAGGGTTTCAATTAGCCCCGTGGCCTGTGCTTCGGCATTTTCAAAATTTTGCATTTTAAACTTTGTTGATTCGATCGTCATTGATGAGTCGTTTTAGGACAAAACGTGCGTCTAGCAAAGAAAACTGTAATCCTGGTATCTGTCATGAGTTTATTCTTGATAAATGTCTTTAAAAGGGAGGCGGAAGATATTAAAGAAATATTCAAACTCATAAGTCAAACTGACAACATTATGGAAAAAATCGAAAAACGACCAGAAGACTAGCAACAGTATACAACATAGAAAACTAAAAACTGAGCAACACGAACGTCACCAAAAAACCCGGGAGGGTTATCAGGTGCTCCTGAAGGGTTGCGGATCCTTCATGACATGAAATACCCATGTGAGTTCAAATCCGTAGATTATGTAGCTTAACTTTATCATGGAAGAGAACAAGTGACCTCAATAGCATATATCTTTTAATTCTTAAATGAACCGTTTTGTTTCTATTTAAAATAATATAACATATTACATATGTTTTCATTTTTAATAAATATCAGTAATGACAAATTCAAATTACAACAACTAAAAGATATCTACTGAACTCCTACAATGCACATAAGAATTATCAAATAAATCAATGAACCACAGTCAATTTAAAATGGATACAAAATGAGTTAAATATCACAACACAACTATCGCAAGTAACAAACAGGAATAAAATATCTGACCCTGATCATATAATTTAAAATATGGACGTTAACGTATGAAATGTCTCTAAAATATTAAAACAAGATACTTCACTTCCAATAAATATAAAACTACTTACTACAATCGTAAAAATAGATTTTTTAGTAAGTCTCCTTTTCTTCTACGGTAAGCCGATTTGCTTTTACCTTATATTTTACAAGTTTGAAAGAATGAGAAATCATAATGTATAAAAATAATTTTTGTTAAAACTATTCAGACAGATTACAGTTATAGTTAAATATGTAGTCAGTCAGTACATAAAGTAATTACCATCACAATTATTATTCAAATAGCACAGTCTTGTTACAAGACTAATGGTATTAAGCTAGCAATACAGTCAGACTTTCTTGACTTCAACCAACAGTCTTTATAGATTAATTTCTCAAAAACTTCTCCATGAATTTTTAATATGTTTAACTCAATTTAAAGCTGAAATATTAGTCTTTAGATAATTTTTTGTAAGTATGATTAATTAAAGATATATAGATCATTAACTGCCAAAAAAATTGCTCTCCGAACTTTGATGAAAATAGCACATTCAGTTCAAATGGTAGTAAAAATTTGTTTTCATTCCTTTAATTGACCATACACAAGCTACAAAACCATGTCTCAGATTTTTGATATGTGCCTCCAATTAGGAGATATATTGATTTAACTGCTGGGTGCCAAACCTCATTTCACTTTTCATCTTTGGAGACCTATAAATTCATTCAGAAACAAATTATCCATAAACTAGGACACCGTTTGTAGAAAATACACCCTTTCATCACATATATCAAAGCCAAACCAAATGAATGGGTTACCCATAAAGATTCTATTTTTGTTTTGTGATAACAATTCCCATGAAACAATGTTTTGAACAATCACCTAAAAACTAAAAATAATCTTTAAACCCCTTAAATGCAACATAAATATACACATTCCTCTGGGAACACCCTAGGAGTGTTTTGACACCATTATTTCATCAAAAGAACCACACAGTTTGTGTCTTTTATACACTTAAACTGTAAATTTTGCATCCCTTAACAACTCTAATTTAGCATTTGGCGGGAGTTTGACGTAACAGGTTTGACCAACATCTGTAATATAGTAACTAAATATGGTCAAAACTCCTCCCCTGTCTAGACAGTCTAAGGTAAGAGAATATCAAGAGTGACCAGCTGCATACAATCAACATTTCACATCATTCTCACCATACTCACTATAAAATACTAATTATCATTTATATTTAAAAAGAAATATATGGTACTGTGAAATTAACTAGGACACAGAAACTTCAAAATGTATAATAAAAGATATTTTCATACTTCCTACTGGCCTCTACAAAACAGAACAGTAACCTCTAGTTCAAGATAAAAACAAATTTCACTATTATCCAGGTGGTTTGTCTAGAATAAGGATTGTTGTGAATGTCACTGTTGCTGGTGTCAGATTCAGATACAGATTCTTTTTTGCCTTAGTAAGAACATTTGTCAGAGGCTTTTAAAGCTACTCTTATACATTTATATTTATCTTTATATGTTTTTAATTTAGATTTTTTCCCTCTACCTTGTTTTTCTTTTATATTTTCTTTGTTTACCTCCATAGTTACAGAAATTAGATTTAATTGCAACAAACATGTTGTAAAATTATACCACATTATCTATCTTGTGGTCAGTGATTAGCAGCTGGACACTTGGTATCAACAGATGATTGAAAAATTAGCTCCTCCCATATGATTTTTTCTATACAGTATTTGTAATGTGCTTTTATGTAAATAATTTAATTATATAATTATAATGACATAATGATGACTCTGGGATTTTTACAAAACATTCAAATGGATAATTACTTTAAAATAATGTGACAAAAAAACATGTCACTAAAAATCATTATAAGACTGTAGTGCTACCTCAAATAAGTCACAAAGCATATTAAAATCACAAATAAATAAATACATTTTTGTGTTAAACAAATAGTTAACATTCAAAGCTGAAATATGTAATGTGAATGAGCATACTGATTAATACTAAGAAAAAAAATCATGTTTTACTCATCCTCAACTTGTCTTAACGTGAATTTTCGTTTGGCCGTTTATAGTTACCGTGTTTCCCTTCTGCGCCTAGTAACTATTCCGGGTGATGATTCGATGTCTGCCTTGTGTACCGAATCTAACTTAACCCTTCTGAAACATTTAGTTGTTTCTTCCTTCAAAAGGGAGATTGTTTTTTTATTTTTTGAATAAATACGTAAAATTTCCTCTTGAAATGTTTCGGGCAAAAATAGTGAGGTCTGAAAATAAAAAGATGTTATTCCATTTAATAAGGATAAGTTTTAACTTATATTATGCAAAATATACATTTTACTATTAAACTGGATATACTTTGACAATAAGGCAACATGTATAGATAATATACTATTCTGTACAACATTGAAAATATAAAATTTGAATAATGAATGTGAAATCTATTTGAAAAATGCAAGCACTAGTTCAATTAACCAATATTTTACTGCATTTCCGTCAAATTTTGCTCATTTGTCAAAAAAGAAATTTACATATATATGATATATATACCTTCTTTGGATTGGTTCTCCGAAAACAGTCCGTATCATTATCTTTCTTATAGAAATATACTGAAGTGATCGGATTATCTGATCCCATTCCATATGAATAAGTTACTTTCTGTAAATGAAAAGATACATGTAGTATTCATTGGCGTTGTGAAATAGTAACATTCTTTTGTTGAACCGACCCGTCTGAGCATTTAATCAAAATGAATGATAAGAGAGCAGTATTTGCAATAATATAAAGACACTCAGATTTGCATGACCTAAATGGTAAATACTTTTGCTATCTTTTTGGCGAATACCGACAGAGTATTCCAGAAATCGTTAGATTTGTAAATACAATAAAGACATTTAACCTTTCCACACTTCGAATATCCACTTGCCTAAAAAAAACAAATTCTTAATATTAACTCAACTGCCGCTAATCGAAATTCACCTTCAAAATTAAGCACGCTTCAAAATTGTGGAAAGGAGTCAATGCCTCTACAGCTAGATTATTCAACAAAAAATGCACGTGGATATCAACAAATATGCCCGTGCAATGCCAGAAAAGGACAAAACCTGTTCCAAATTATTTTCAGATAATACTGTTTGGTGAACAGAAAAACTTTTTCTATCTCCTTTTCATAGGACATTACTTGAAAAACCCAAAGCCTCATATATCTAGTAACATGAACAAAACCGAGATGTGGAATTCAATATGAAGGGCAAAATTGACGTGCTTTTTTCAAACGAACACAAAAACATCTATACCGCTTCCGTCGATCTAAAGAATTCAAAAGTTTAATTTACCAACATTTAGAAAAACACAAACCCTATATTTAATTTGTAAAATTCCAACCACTTCAAACCGCCCAGAAACAACCACGAAGTTCACATGCACATTTTGATTGATTGATTGATTGGTGTTTAACACCACTTTCAGTACTTTTGCGCTATTTCATGGCGGTCATTTTTTATTTGTGGAGGATGCCGGAGTGCCCGGAGAGAACCTTCGCCCTTCGGCAGAAAAATTGACAATCTTAGTCAATTTAGATAAGAGTCGAACGCACCTGCCACGTGCCTGATTCGGAATTACAACCTCAGTGTTGACAGGCTAGTGATACTGTAGTTCGACTACTTAGACCTCTCGACAACCGAGGCCCACACACAATTTGATTTTCATTTGTCTTTAAGACAGAGGGGATACGATGTCTGTTGTCGTTTAATCCAAAACAGTTCAACGTCACAGACTTTTCAAACCAGTTCGCATTGAAAAAGATGATAAGGAGAATGGATCTTGCAACAGTGTTGCAGGATCTCAACAATGACGACTTCAAGTCTATATCTCCTGGTTGCACCAGTTCTAGTTTCCCATTCATATATAATCCGACTGGCCACATTATTACTGGTGACCTAAACATTGTTAGTAACACTTCTCTGCGAAATGTGTTATCGAAAGGTCCGAAATATCGTGAGCCTTAATCCATCAATCAAAACACAACTTCAAAATACTGATTGATTATGCCAGGCAATGGGTTAGACTCGAGAAAGTAGACGTAGATAATCTTTCTGAATGGATTTTGGCTGTGAGGTTGTTAATACAAATCAGAATTAAAAAAAACTGAATGTGTCTATGAATACACATACTTCATCAATCTTTAAAGACCCAAAAGTTGCAAAGCACCAGTCGTACCTCCATGACAAATATGTTGTTGTTCCCGAAGATAAAACCACATACAACATCATTTTTGTGTGTAAATCACATTACATAAACTGCTTGATAAATGAATTAGGTATTGACAATTCACTTGGAAACTCAACATATACCACCACGACACTTACCAAAGGGGAAATCCTGGAACTTATAGGTCGGTTCTATGTTCCTTTGGAATTCGAACCAAAGATAAAAGATCTCTATCTTCCTTAATTGTAATGGATACATAAATTACATAAGCGTCCTTACAAACAACGTTATATTGCTGGGTCTTCTAAGTTCTCCACGAAACTTCTTTCTAAATTATTAACATCAATTTTATCAGCAATCTAAGCCGGGCAACAAATTTATTGTGAAACTACCTATTTTAGAGGCGGCGTGCATCAGATGTTGATACTAACAAATTCCAAAGATCTGTTAGAGTACATTCAATCTAAAACTCTTTCATCCTGCAATAGTATTAAAACATTAATTTTTAGACACTTTACACAAATATGCCTTATTCTAAACCGAAAAACAAATTGAAAGAGGTGGTCTTGCTTTGTTACATAAAAAAGAATGGCCAATGTAGATACAAGTATCTTGTCTAGAAAGGACAAATCGATATTCTAGTGGGCGGTGTGAATCCGATGCGGATACTAAAAATTTCCAAAGATTTTTTAGAGTATATAAAATTTAAATCTCTGTCGTCTTGCAATAGCTTAAAAGATTTGACTTTTCTACCATTTACCTGACATTATCAATTGTCGTTGATTGACAACATATGTTTTACATTTGGAGAACGTTTCATTCAACAAACAATACGCTTTCCCATGTGAACCAACTGTGCTCCTCTTCTTGCCGACTTGTTCTTAATTCATATGACGCTGAATTCATACAGAAGCTTCGTAGGAAGAATGAAGAGAAGCTAGCGTTATCCTTTGCATTCACTTTCAGCTATATAGATTATGTGCTCTAACTAAATAATTCAAAGTTTGGTGACTATGTTGAACGCATTTATCCAATCGAACTTGAAATTAAGGATACCAAAGATACAGTTAAGTATGTCTCATATCTTGACTTACATCTAGAAATTAACAATGAAGGTTGGTTGAGGACAAAATTTTACGACAAAAGAGATGATTTCAGCTTCCCAATTGTGAACTTTCAATTTCTATGTAGCAACATTCCAGCAGCGCCTGCATATGGAGTATATATTTCCCAGTTGATACGATATTCCAGGGCTTGCTTTTTCTATCATGATTTCCTTGATAGAGGGTTGCTCCTAACAAGGAACATATTGAATCAAGAGATCCAAGTGTTGAAGTTGAAATCATCCCTTCAAAAATTTTACGGAATGCCTCACGAGTTGGTTGACCGTTACGGAATATTTGTTTCACAGATGACAATGGATATGTTCCATCGTCGTTACCACAATTCCGCTCTCCTGATCCCCGAATGTGTCTTATCGAATTAGACTTATCACCAAGTTTGTACTTACATGAGCAACACGACGAATGCCACATGTACAGGATCTGCTTACCCTTCTGGAGCACCTGAGATCATCCCGGTTTTTCGTGGGGTTCATGTTGATCAGTCTTTAGTTTTCTATGGTGTGTTTTGTACTAGTATACTGTTTTCTTTTCTTTTTCTTCTATTTGCTTTGGCGTTGTCAATTTATTTCGACTTATTAGTTTGAATGGTCCTTTGGTTTTTTTTTCTCTTTTACTGGAATCTTTAAACAATTTGAAGATTCCCGTAAAAGTTTCGAACTGTCTTGAATAAAACGACAGACAGCGTATTCCCTCTGTCTTAATGACAATATCATGGGCTAAGGGAACATATCTTTAACTGTCTCTATTTATATCCTGACTATTGTTGATAAGAGACAACGTAATCATAGGTCGCATGGCAATCGCATTAACCGCAATCAACGAAATAAACATCGATATAATTTTGCACTTGATGATCGTTTATCTATATTTCAAAACAATGGTAGACATAAGTTATTATGCAAACTACTAGTAGGTCAAATGCATATTAGAAAATTACATAATATTTATAACTAATAAAATTGAGAATGGAAATGGGGAATGTGTCAAAGAGACAACAACCCGACCATAGAACAGACAACAGCAGAAGGTCACCAACAGGTCTTCAATGCAGCGAGAAATTCCCGCACCCGGAGGCGTCCTTCAGCTGGCCCCTAAACAAATATATATACTAGTTCAGTGATAATGAACGCCATACTAAACTCCAAATTGTACACAAGAAACTAAAATTAAAAATAATACAAGACTAACAAAGGCTAGAGGCTCCTGACTTGGGACAGGCGCAAAAATGCGGCGGGGTTAAACATGTTTATGAGATCTCAACCCTCCCCCTATACCTCTAGCCAATGTAGAAAAGTAAACGCATAACAATACGCACATTAAAATTCAGTTCAAGAGAAGTCCGAGTCTGATGTCAGAAGATGTAACCAAAGAAAATAAACAAAATGACAATAATACATAAATAACAACAGACTACTAGCAGTTAACTGACATGCCAGCTCCAGACTTCAATTAAACTGATTGAAAGATTATGTCTTCATCATATGAATATCAGGCACAATCCTTCCCGTTAGGGGTTTAGTATCATACCATCATAACATATATGAGAAGAACATAACCCGTGTCATGCCAACAACTGGTTTTTAAATAAATGTGTTTAGTGCCGATACTTTGATTCAATATCGTTTTTCCGTCCAAAATATGAGTGTACACGTATCATATCTGCTTTTTGTCGCCATAGACTGTTCCTGCGAATTGGTAAACATGAAAATCACAATTTTATTTTTTTATAAAAAATAAAATACATTAACAGAGGTATTAATTTGTTAAGGTCTTTTAATGATTCTACTGTTCAAAACTTTACACCTCCATACTTTGGTAACAAAGAGCCACCTATAATTTCTTATACGTATATACGTACATCGAAGTTTTGATATGATCCCTATGGCCATGCTGGTACAAGGGACCTAAACATCGTTCAAAGGTTATAAACTTTCTGAAAAAAGGACCAAAATATCGTCTACCATCGAAAATAAATTGGAAAGAGTGTCGTCAGGTCATTAAAGATGCTCTTTCATCCTATTGTAAAAATTGGTGTAAACGGAAGAAATCTGTTTGAATAAATGTCTGAATATTGTTGATATTCGCAAATCACATTTCGAAAATAATTAAGCAATAAATAAAAGAGTCAGTAATACGGCAATTTTTAGGATAGAAAAAAAAAAAACAAAACAAAATTCAAGTATTCGCAAAGTGTTTTGTGTTCGTACTGAGCGACAAAGCAGCCAACACTGTGGTGGTTGTATGATGTTAATACTACATGGAAGTTTAAGAATGAAATTATACAATCAACTTCATTCAAGGGCGTGCGCTCCATATAGAGTCATA